GATCTTGCTCTTTACAATTTGCAAAATATTTTTTGCATTTGATTTAGGAGTCAGGGGCACTCGCTGTGTAACGCAGATCTGATTGACAACAAACGTGTTTTTTTTTCTAAATCACCCAGGAGGAAACTTTTTCTTCTGCTTTGTCATTCCTAGTATCTGATGAAGGCCAAAGGCAGATAGAGAGGGGAGAGAAATTCTGTCCGAAACCTAAACCTCCTTGAAACTCAGACATTTGTGTAAAATAAGCCAGCTAAAACCAGTGTGAATTTGAAGGATGAAGGAGGAGTCGTGTGAACTGACGCCGTGCGCCCTCTTATGTTTGTGCTCTGCTGGCAGAGCTAAGTATGCTTCCGTTTCTCTTCAGTAATTTAACAATTTAAAAATGATTAATTAAATAACGAGTAGCAGATGATTCTCATACTGCACTATAGAATGCTGCGAAAGCGGAACTATACTTTGTTTCAAGCAACCACAGGGAACGAACAATTAGCGGAAGATTTGATGTGAAGAAACACAGTAAATGTTCATCCAAACCCAATACGCATCCTTTGGAGCTTGAAACAGAGACTGTACATGGGAACTTTTTTTGTAGAGTCTCTTCTGGCTCCCCCTCTTCCGCAGGAAAGAAAAGTGCAGACGAAGGGAGAAAAGGAAGATGAGCTTGCTTTGGTTATCAATACATTTAAAGGTAGGGTACCAGATCAGTACAGCAACCCAAAGGGCGCACGCACAAGCACCCACCACGTGATTACTAGGCATAAGGGAGAAATCAGTGCTCCAATGCAACTAATCTGGAGCACTAGGAAGAAGTAAGGGAAGGCACAAAGACACCCTAACTTGGTTAGTCTGGGCTGAAGTACCTAGGAATTGACCAAGGCTTAAGAAGAAAGCAGCGTCAGAGAAGGCAGGACTTCTCTGTATATTCCCATTTGCTTTTTGGCCAGCAACTTTTTAGCGTTAAGAGAGTTTGCATGGCTCTTAGGCTCCCCCGGTTACTTTCCCCCTCTGTTTACCAGAAAGTTTCAGTGCTTTAAAATGCCTCTTCCCGCTAGCAGGGCTAACTGAAGGTACTCACGAGGCAGGGACACGGTGTTTTCTCCTGGAAAGTCCGCCCGGCGTGGGGAGTTCTCCGAGGTGCTGAATTCCTCTGCTGCTCGCCCTGCGCTGTCCCGGGTGCTGAAGGTGAACGACTATGGGGCTGGCTCCTTTGGGCTGGCTGGGGCTGCTGCTTCAGTGGTGTTGCCTAGCCCTCCTCCTTCAGCTGACTGATGCTTCCTCTCCCCTTCAGTACACTCTGCTCAGCCCTTGCAACCGCCTCGTTTTATAGGGGTTATAGATAGGACCACGTTTCTGCCTCAGAAAAAGCGATCACGTTACTTGGGAGACGTCACTATTCCCAAGGGGTTGAATGGAAGTCCGTGATCGCTTTGTTCAGGATGCTCTGAGCCGGGGGAAGAAGTTCATATTTAATTCATGGGCAACATCCTACCCCATTTTTATTGATTTATAGTAATGAATGGCTTAAACAGTGAGTAACACTCGGCTGACAGCGTAATTCTGCTTACAACGACAGACGATCGTTGGGCAGGTCCTGCCACTCAGTTGGCTCCAACGTGGAGTCCTGTGTGTATGTTTAGCCTGGGTGTGATTAATCGGGATCTGTTAGCAACTTGGTTCTCCTCCTGTACATTAAAAACAACGAGGGATGGGGGCGCCAGCAAATACGTCGGTAGCATCTTGAATGCCTGAGTTCTCAGCAGGGCTTCTGGCTAGAGTCTAGCACTTAAAAGCCTCACATCTACTCTCAGAAAAGTGTTGGTGTCTTGTAAACTGTTACGTGTACCGCTGAGATAGTGTAGAACCCGGGGCTTGTTACAGCTATTTTTCACAATATAGAGCAGTAGGGGTGGGGGAACGGGTGCTCCCACATTTTGAAATTTTCTTTGGACAAAACTTTGTAGATTACAATTACAAGTCGCTGTTTACTAGTGAAATGCAAAGACTCTCCTAAGCTTCCGCTTTCCAAGCTTTCCACTCTTTACAGATACAGATCTAAACCACAGATATACCTTAGCTGCTCGATAGGAGTGTTATCTGCAGTCCTCAGGGAACAGCGATGAAATACCACCATATATGACACAGTTGGAAAACTTTATACCGTTAGAGACCTTTTCCATGTAACCTTTAAAGGAGCGGCTTGGGGCAATATAGCTGGATTAGAAAGGATGCCATTTTTAACTCTCTATTTGCCGGCAGATACCATTTTATGAAGCAATTTACCATTCTTTGTTTTCTCGTTGAAAACTTATTTGTTCACCCACATTTCTTCGAGGAAAATAAAGCGTTAGCAGGTGCTTGTAAACTAAACCAAAGAATGGTTTCCAGAATAGAGAATAGGCTTCCAGAATACAAAATGGGCGAAGCCCTGAAATTAGGCTATTGAGTGGAAGGGGGTAATACGATGGGAAGGAGAGCTCATTCTTGTTAGGAATTTCAATAATGCCCAGAGAGCAGAGAGCGAGTCACTCCCACAGCGTGTGGTTAGACATTTAGTTCTAATACAGCCCCCACTTTTTGCCCTGTTTTGCGGGGAGGCAGATGGGAGGACACGTCGTAATTAGACATGGGATCGCGCCCGGCGCTAGTTTGATTTCTACAGCAGAGGGAGTTTTTGGCAGGTTCTTGCTTTATCTAATTTAAGTTTTCGCACATAAAACTCATACATCAAAAGAGCTGCGTCAAGTAATCACTTCAGTAAAGGGTCGTTCTCCAGTTCTGCTTTAGCCTTCTTGCGTCTGTGATGTACGTACACTTACGCCTCCTAACCTATGGACACAAGGTACCCGACCACAAAATCAGGGCGGACGATTTCACCATTTCCTCTTACATATAAGTTTTCCGTGCTTTGCTGCTTCAAAGGTTGGACAGGCTTGACGGTGAATATTCTGCCATCCTTAATCAAATTTTCTAATCCAATTACATAAAAAATTAAGTGAATTAAACTAAAAAATGCCTGGAAATTTGTTTCTCGGATGTCAGCTGTGACTCAAAGCAGAGTTCCTGCAATGGCCTAATTCCAGGAAATTTTCCCTTGTTACTACATAACTGGAGGTCGAACGATCAGCTCTGTTCTGGAATGGCATGACAAGCAGCAGTAGCTCTTCTTCACCTAGCTCCGGATGAAAGTTTTCCCCTTAAATGCTGTACTCGGAGTTCAGAAGGTGTTGCACTGCAGACTAGTGACAGACAACAGCGGCTTAAATAAAGTGCTTCAAACGGTTGGTAAATGACGCTTGTAAAAGATCAGGTGTAGGAATGGGCTTGTGGAAGAACACAGGACAAAAGTTTGAAGGAGGGAACTCCGAGGCTTGAAAGACGAGTTATTTATGTGTTAGGTTATGAGTTTGGAGACGTTAGACTGATAATGCAGTTAGTAAACATACACGTAGAACTGAAGCTGCAGAGGTTATTACTGAACAGGCTCTTTGCCCGACCAATTCACAGGAAACGTTTTACAGCGGTCAGCTGGCGAAAGCATGCATCCTTGTGGGTTTGAAGAAAACGCAAACCCTCGAGAGGTACATGTGGCGAGAGCGCCATCTACACGCCAAAAGCTGTGACACCTTTGGCTTGAGAGGACTTGATGTAAAGAGTTCCCCTGCGTTTATCCTAACAAACAGAGTACAGGAGTGAATGTCCAATATGAATACTCTTGGCCTATGTGGGGAAAAACCTGGTACCTCATGTAAAAGGTCTGATCTCACAAGGCATTGATATGGTTAGTTAAGAATTAGGCTGAGCGAAATAATAGCAAAGCTGTGGGAGAACAATTCTGCAGGGTGTGGGCATGGCTGTGGTTACACAGCAAGCCTCTCCTAGATGTAAAACTGTCCATGAAAGAACTGTCTATTTTGTATAGCTCCCATAGTCATAGTAACAGAGCAACTCCAATCCCCCTAAGAGGTAGGGCATAAGGGGAGGGGCAGTTTCAACTGCAGAGTAGACTTAACCCTCACACTGCAGACTCCTTATGGAAAACTGCAGAGTACATACTCTGTGCACTCCTCTGGTATGTCTACACTTGCCCCCTAGTTCAGACTAGGGAGGCAAATGAAGCATACCGAAGTTGCTAATGAAGCGTGGGATTTAAATATCCCACGCTTGATTAACATATTCGTGGCCAGTCGCCATTTTAAAATGCCGGTAGCCCAATTTAACTTGCTGCATGTAGACGCAGTAGTCCAATCCAAAACCCTTTCCTCCAATTAACTGTTACTGAATTGCTCATCAAGTCCTCACAGCAGGCCCAAGCACCATCTAGACCATTGCTGATAGATGTGTATCTAACCTGCTTTTAAATATCTCCAGAGATGGAGATTCCACAACCTCCCAAGGCAGGAAGGCACCCACCTTCTCCATGCCCTGGCAGGCTCCTGGGAGCTGGCAGACTGCTCCTGGGGAGCAGTGGAGGGCTGGCTACCAGTGGCTTGCTGGCTCATGTTTTGGGGCCACTGGGTCAGAGGCAGTGACTGCTGGCTCTGGGCTGGCAGGCTTGGAGCTGGCACAGGCACTGTGGCCAGAGTCAACCCCTTTAAGGGCTCCGGGGAGTGGGGAGGAAGGGGAGTGTTCTTGGCTGAGGCTGGAGTGGACACCAGGGCACCATGGGATGGCTAGAAGTCCCCTATTTTGAAATAATATCTACACAGCACTTATTTCGAAATAGCTATTTCAAATTTAGCTTTATTCCTTGTGAAATGAGGCTTACCAAATCTGAAATAAGTGCTCCACTATTTCAAATTAATTTTGAAATAGCGGTTTGGCTGTGTAGATGCTAGTAAAGTTATTTCGAAATAACAGCTGTTATTTCAAAATAACTTTGCTGTGTAGACATACCCACAGAGAACACAGCCTTATTTTCTTCCTGCACTTTGAAAGTATTCAAAGCAAGTGAAGCTGTATGTCTATCAGGTATTCAGGTTTGTGTGGGAAGATGCTTTGGTACCTTGAAGAAATGGTAAATGAGCATAGATTTTAAAGCAGAGATGCAGAAGTGACTTTCAAATTTTCACACCTCCATTTTCCCAAGCTTTTTCTGCAGTCCCTTAGGATAGATTCTGTCCTAGACTGCGGCCCTTTTGCAACACTCTAGTTGTATAAAGGGCTCACAATTGTCACATTGGGTTCCCTGCTGAGAGTTCTACACTGACCCCCTTCCCAGCTGCAAGCCCAGTGTGTGGGCTGGAGGGGGAGACAGAGAGAGAAAGATGGAAGGGGTCAGAGGACACATAGCTGATGCAAACTGGGCTCCAGTTATTCAGTGTTGATCTCAAGGCTAATGGACAGCTACTACAATCTAAAGCAAATTCAAGGAACCCTATAGGCCATGATGGCTTCTGGTACAGATTTTGGGATGCACAAAAGTACCTTGAGGCCACTTTTACCCTCCTCCCTTTTTTCTGTATTGATCACAGGAAAGGCATAGCTGAAAATTGCCCCATTGGCTCATCAGCTTTTGCATGCATAGCATTTTGGCTATGGGTGCACAGATTGTATTTCTGTGAGAAAATTGGATGTGTATCTGATTTGCATGTATTCTATTCAGAGCACACAGAACTCCCAGCCGCTGTCTACTGTATATGTGACTGAGATCTTCCTATACACCCAGCAGCACCTCTGATATGGCACTGGTTAGAACTTCGCAGTGGTACTAATTCAGATATTTCTTGGGGGCGGGGGCGGAGAAGGATTCTGGTGTTCTGTGGCTAGGGACCCTGCTCTAGCAATGGTGCATCCCTCCTCCTGCCAATCACACTCCTCTCTTACCCACACAATGCATGAGCTGGTGCCTTCAAGAGTTTTGTTCTCCCCTGGCTCTGCCATACAAAAATAGATTTCTCATGCACAAGATCACACCCCCCTTTGGCCCAGCCATCCTCCAGCCCATATTTCCTGTTGACTAAACTCCATAAGGCAACAGTTTAAAAGTGATTGAGGAAATTAACTAAAAAGGTTCACTCTCAAGCAAATTAGGGGGTAGGTTTAAAAGATAAAATAAAAAAAGAACAAGTTAAAAATCACCTAGAAAAGTTAGATGCCTGCAAGTCACCAGGGCCTGATGAAATGCATCCTAGAATACTCAAGGAGCTGATAGAGGAGGTATCTGAGCCTCTAGCTATCATCTTTGGAAAATCATAGGAGACAGGAGAGATTCCAGAAGACTGGAAAAGGGCAAATATAGTGCCCATTTATAAAAAGGGAAATAAGAACAACCCAGGAAACTACAAACCAGTTAGTTTAACTTCTGTGCCAGGGAAGATAATGGAGCGAGTAATTAAGGAAATCATCTGTAAACACTTGGAAGGTGGCAAGGTGATAGGGAACAGCCAGCA